GATCACCACCGTCTTGAGGTAACTCTGCCAGCGAAGAATTGCCTCGGGAGATGAGATCCTTTTCCTCTTGGGCCATTTCTTCATCATCTTCTCCAGGGTTTTCCTGGGTTTAACATAATAGAAAGAAGTGAGAAACTTGCCTTAAATTGTTTTCCTGCATTATGTTGTTGGACTATCTTTTTCTTTACATCTAATGAAGGCTCAAGTCAAGTTCCTATGCAGAATAGCTTGGCCAGCGGTCAGCAGCCATATATGTCCCTGCATGATTTGTTTTGGCATAAGATATCTTAAAAAGAAACAAGGTCTCGCATCTTTTACCTCTATATCTGTAAGATCCACGCCGTGTTCTATGAGGAATGACAAGAATGCCTGAAAATTTTCCTCTGTCGGAAGATAATGACCGCTGTGAGCCCAAACAGCCTTTGGAGTGAAGAAAGATTAATGTCAGTATAACAAACAGTCAAACAGGTAGCAAAGGAATGCGGGTGATCAATCTACTCCGGATACCTTAATGACACCACCTTCCACCACCAATCTTCCAGCAGACAACGTGGCTCCCCCTGCCAGGAAGCTTGAATGTTGAAATTTGCCCTTAATCTTCTGTCCAATATATAGAGTTTTGGATGTGCTGAGCACAAAAATCCACTTAGCATCTCCTCTAGTTTCAACAAGTTTCCCACTCTGCTTGTGGAAGAGTCGCCCATTCTCTATTGCTACTTCATAAGCTTTTCTTTCCACCTGGACAAGAAAAACATTAAAAATCGTGTTACCATATTGCTTGACAGTTGAGCCACCCACAAGTTCTGGGATTCTAGTCTAAATTCATGAACTCCGCCCTCCTTACAAAATAGTATATGACCAATTCCTCTCCCTCTAGCTGGGCTAGATGACATTGCTATTCTCAGTAAAACAGCTAAAGGAATTAGAAATGTCAGCGGGACAAGAAAACTTACCGGACCCAGATATTTGATGCACTGCTGTTGAAGCTTTGACCTTGGGCATCTTTCATGATTGATTTCCTTGCCTTGTCCAATATCAAGCCTACATTTTGGAAGTTAATTAGTATAATCGTTTACCCTTCTCCCGGGACCAATGCAAGCTTACCAATAAAAGAAAGGTTGATCGCTGTCGCAGCGGAGCCATCTGGCATAGTAAAATTGAAGATTATGGCCATAACGATGCCGAGGATCAATCTGTTCTTGAACGAGTGGCAAGTAGTTAGAAAAACTATTATTTTAATTATTTTATTGCACCGCTTTAGCTGCGAGACTTACTGCTTCTAGCCAGTGCTGTAAAGCTAGTTTACGAGCCTTCTCATCCTTTGATAGCCCCTTTCCAACCTGCCAAAAAATAAAAGGAGACTCATCAGCTCTTAAAACGCATGCGATAACAGTAACATATTAATAAAGTACACGTCATGATTTAAAACTTACTTTGGCAGCTCTAGTTCTTGCCCTTGACCACCGGAAAGAGCAGTCTCTGGCTTCTCGATGTGATCAAAAAATGATATGGAACTCCGCCTTAGCTCAGCAAAATCCAACACCCTCCACCTGTAAGTGTTTTACATGAATTTGTAACAAACTGTGACACACAAAAGTGAATGAAAAATGAGGGATATTACAATGTTTTAATCTCAACTTCAAATTTGACAACTAATTGCATTTTTGTGAGATAGTTCCAAGTAGAAACTCTAATGTCCGGAAATGTAGAAAGTTAATGATTACTTTATTACTAATACTAGGTGGAGATAAAATTTTTAAAACAATAGGCTCAAATCAAGGAGAAGAAGAAAGAAAGCTACAGTGCGTCTTGCTTAAATAATGTATATATAGAGACACACGACATGCACACATATATTGATGTTAATTGGACAGGGCAAATCAAAGGTGATAAATACTAACCATCTCTGCTCTGCAAGAACTGCGCAGTCTGCCAGTTGCCTTCTTGTTCTGAAACTTTTGTAAACTTTCTGCAATTTGGTTGCGGCTTTGTCTCTTGGAGTAGCATAGGGTGTCTGTGGCAAAGGTGACTGGAGGTTCCTCTCGGAGAAGTTACTAGTTGATATCGACAAATCATCAAAATTGTCTTTCTTCCTTATGCTTATTGCCTTGCATGAGAAGTCATTCTCCGCATCTCCTTTGGGAGTTTTGAAAGAGAAAGCAGTCTCTGACTCCTGCCCCTTTAAGTTAAGTGCGCTTTCAAGTATCATCTTCTCAAAACTTTCCCAATGACTATTACTGAGACACGGCTTTTGACTCTAACTGTGCATAAAATTTGATTTTTAGAGAGCAGTTTCCAAGGAGGGACTATTAACCACTTACATCGGCTAACGGTCAGGAAAAAGGTCTCAATCAACAAGATTTAAGAACAAAATGTCTGTCTATAGGGAATGAAAATAAAAGGGTTCAAACATGCATCAAACTTTGGCACTATGGCTACCATTAGATGGCACCTTCACCAACAAAAATATATGATTTGAAACTTGAGGGATCAAGATCAAAATCAAAATGAGCCAAAATAAAAGCAAATTTGCAGAATCAACAATTATATTAACCCTAAAAAAAATAAAAAGAATATATTTTACTTCAGACACCATCACACCAAAAAAAAAAAAACACGTGCATGGAAAATATGGCTAAAAGAGCGAGATGGTGTTCTGGAAAGTTATTATTGAGCTTAGTCACTACAGGTTAAGATTTTACGTTTCAGGAAACTGGAAAAAAAGCAACGTTTCGGCCCATGTGTTGAAAGAAAACTAGTTTAAATTGCCATTACCATTACGACATAAAACTTGATTTCAAAAACTGGTGCAGCAACTTCTCGGTTACTTTAGGCACGTAGGAGAGTTAAGACCAGCATCGTAACAGGTTCTGTATATAATCCGATAATGTACTGGGAGCAAATAAACGATAAAAGAATCCAAAAGAATTTGGAGCGCGCGCTCGCGCGCATGTTTTAAGCATTTCAAGAGAAACAGGGTTACGAGACAATGCCATGATCGGATTAATTAATTGATCTTTTCCTTTGAGATGTTCGTCCACGTCATCTTGAATCATTCATTAATTTGTTACATATCAAATTCAGACATCATAAATTATTTAACATATTCCGGAAATTTTAGCATGTCGCACAAATTAATGATCTGAAAAACAAACATTGAGTTTTTCTGGTAAAGGAATCAAACAGGAGGAAGGGTTTACGATCGACAAGCATACCTTAGCCTGTGATTGTGGCGCTGGACCAGAAGAAAGGCTTCAAGGTGAGGTTGGGCGGAGGCGGGAAGAGCCAACTGAAAGCATAGAGAGAGATAGAACGAAGAGAAGCCGAAGAAATGCGAGGGAAATCGAACAATGAGGAAGAGGAAGAGATTGACGGACCTCTTGTTTTAAGAGGCTCTGAAGGTGAATTACAGGGTGGCTCCTTCATGCTTTTATATCGTGCAGCGTTCGATGCCGCAATACGTTGGCCTCTAATACTATTCTTGGGAGGTGAACATCACATGCAGCAAAAAGAATGTTTTTCCGCTAGAATGTAACTGTAGGGGAAAAATATGAATTATAATTACAAATAAATATAAATATTAATGATTAATTTAAAACCAGTTGTAAAGAGTTAATTATATATATTTGATTGCTTTTATCTAGCTCTCATAAATAAGTTATAGAAAAGTATAATAGATAAATACTATTACTTTCGATTCTTAATACAGGAGTATTAACTAGTTCGGAGATATTAGAAAAATTAATTAAATTAATTATTTATTATAAATATTATATTAAAAAAATATTTTTTTTATTTATCAATATCAATATTTTTGTTACTTTGCTTATTCGTTTTGTTTATCAACCGAATTAAAATTACGAATCTACATGGAATTGCATAAAGTTGTTTGTTGAAAGTTAGATAAAATAATTTATCATTTAATTAAATTCAAGTTTGATATGTGGTTCGTTTCACCGTTTCCTCGTTTTGTTGTCTACTTGCGTTTCTTTATTTTGTCGGGTACCTTCTTTTTATTTATTTATTTGGCGTGTCAGGTAATTTTGATATTGTTTGTCGGGTACAATTATTTTGTTTGTTTTTGCTACGTTTCTTTTTTTTTTGGGTACAATGCTGCGTTATTTCTTATTGCAGTTTTGTCCTGAGATTAATAGTTTTTTTTTTTTTGCTAAAGTATAGTTATCCTCCTATTGGAGGCAATCCTATTTGAGACACTGTTGGGCACTAAATGTGGTCACCCTCCCAATGGGGATTTGAACTTTGGTTTATTACATTATAAGGGACTAGTTCCTTCTGCTAGACCTAATTCCTGTTAGTTCCTGAGATTAATGAGATGAAAATATGATCTTATTGGACCCCATGTATGCCTTCACCGGCTTGGATGTTTGGGCTAGACGCAGCCGGCCCGAACCTTTTCTTTCGCAAAAAAGCAAATTACAGAGGAACCATGTCTTTTTAATTTTTACTTTTTTTGTGACCTGAATTACGGAGGATTTAGATTTTTACTCATCGCTTTGCCCTACTTTTTGTACAAATTAAATTAGGCCTCAGCATTGTGCCTGTCCGAAGCTTGGGATTGGTTATATTTTAAATAACTTTTCAATAATATGACTTTATTTTTACAAATATATTGATGCGAAGATTTTTTTTAATTTTAAAACATACAAATTCTTCTCAATCCTTGGATCATTCCATGAAATCGCTTGCACAAATTTTGCATTTGTTTAACATATGAAATCTTTAGCAGAGCTTCGATGCAACAATTATTTAGATGGCATCGAATTGCACCTTTATTGCATGCAAGAATGCTGGGATTTTTCATTAGACTTGAGAGTTCTTATACTAAATGCTATGATTTTATTTGGACAGAGAAGTCATTCAGGCAATTTTGCAGCTTCACTGAATTGTTGGTGCTTTGTCACGTATCACAGCTTATTCACTGATTTTAATCAAATTCAAAGTACAGTCAGAGAGAAGTATGCTACAGCCTACACACAAGATTTCTACTCCAACGCCCTCTTTATGTTTGTAAGCATGTCAAGATTAAGATAAATTAATAAACAAGGGAAAAAAAAAAAACAAGTGGCAAACAAAGTAGCCAATAATAAAAGGGTAGTTGACAAAAAGGGGGAAAAAACACACACACAAAAAAAAGAAACCAGAAGATATATATCTAAATGATGCTAGAGCACTCTGAACAAGAGAAATTGGCATGTGTGCAAGTTACTTTGTAAAGTGAAAAATCTCCTAAGAAGGTAAAGATTTTGTAAGAGTTCATTAGATAAGCTCTCAACTAGGACTTCAGCTTTATCTGATGAGTTAGCTGGAATAGAACTACATCTCTTCTTTTCACTAGTCTTCACCTTTTCGCACTATTCTTTTACTATGCATTGGCCTCAATTGGATCTGCGCGCTATATTTTCCACCATGGACACCTGAATGGTTCCTTCACTACCCTTGTCTTGTAAGGCATCATCTCCAACATCTTTGTTCTATACAGTATTTTAGGAACTACCCTCATCTTAATTCTTTTTAACATTTAGTATTTGTTTCCTTGATGTTTCTCACAACAGCATCTTCGTTTGCAGTAGTGACTTCAACTTTTTTCGATCCACTTTTCATATGGTTTTTAAACTGCCACCTGCAATATCCTTGTCCTTATTGTCGACCTGTGCAGTATTCACATTGTTGACTTCTGCTTCATTTGATCAATTTGCTTCCTTGGAAGTCTCTATATTTTTTTCGCTGCCCTTTTTGATGTCACTATCTTCCTTATTGGTATAATCATCAACACCATCTTTATTTGTAACGGCACTGCCTTCAACTTTATCAGATGAATTTTTCATACCTGATGAATTTGCTTCCTTTGAATTCTCTACACTTTTTTCGCTGCCCTTGTTGATGTCACTATCTTCCTTATTGTTATAATCATCAACACTACCTTTATTTATAACGGCACTGGCTTCAACTTTATCAGATGAATTTTTCATACCTGATGAATTTTCTTCCTTCGAAGTCTCTATACTTCTTTCGTTGCCCTTGTTGACGCCATTGCCTTCCTTATCGGTATAATCATCAACACTATCTTTATTTACAATGGCATTGACTTCGACTTTATCAGATGAACTTTTCATGCGTGACATCTGTGTACTCTGTTCACTGTCCTTTTCTTTGCTGTTATTATCTTCGTTTTGATCATTCTCTGCATCGTTTTTCATCTCAACAGTGACTTCAACTTTATTTGATGAATTTTCCTCACTTGACATCTGTGTATTCTTTTCATTATCCGTTTCCTTGATGTTACTATCTTCATTCACCGCATCATTTTTCGTCTCCACAGTGACTTCGGTTTTATCCAATGAATTTTCCTTGCTTGATGTTTGTATGCTTTGTTCACTGTCCTTTTCTTTTATGTTACCATCTCCATTCTCTGCATTATTCTCCACATCATTTTCTGTCTTCACAGTGATCACCAGAGGCCCTAGCTTGGAATCAAGATCCTTGACAACAGAAGTTAAAAATCTCACATCTCGAGCATCTGCTAACCTGCTGTTTGATGATGCCTACAGCAAGAGATTAAAGGTCTGAATATAAAAAGTGACAAGGAAATTGGCATATTTCGATCCTCAACTAATATGGCAAAGCAGTTTTTCCAAAGAAACTAATGTTAAGAGAGTACAATTTGATATCTTTACATATGCGAATCTGAAGCCTCAGTTTAAGCATATTAACTGCATGAGGATATCAAATTCATTCATTCATTCTTTCATTTGTTTGTTTGTTTGTGTTTTTTTGGCCAACAAATTCATTCTTTCCTACTCTTGGCAATGTCATTTTCCCTGGCTATAAAGCATTTTCTAATGATAACCATCAGAACTAACTAAATTTCACTATCAAAGGTTTCAAAGTATATCAAACAGTAGCCATGAACACTGAACAGACACTAACCTGCATAAGTTGCTCCACTCGTGGTTTAAGATCTTCTTCAGATGCTTCTTTGTAGATGCCTTTAAGAACGCAGAGGACATGAGAATGAAGTTCATCAGAACGATGTTTATCGACGAAACATTGTGCAACAGGGGTCCGACACCCCACAGCATAGAAAGGACAGTTCACAAGTTTCATGGGACATTTTGTTATGCAGTGTCTGTCCATCTCACGTCTCATAATGAGCTCTGGACACTTCTGCTCACACGGAATTATCTTAAAAGGACATTCTGAATCATGCTTCTCCAAATGACTTGCACAGAATCTAGCCTCACAACCTTGGTTATGACATATGATAGGCCTAAAGCCGCAATTATGAGCATGGTTGGAAAGTTCTTCCAAGGAGGTGAACTTCATGTCGCAATGAAACAAGTTCTTGAAGTCAACATTCTTAACTAAAGCTGCAGCAATTGCTTGTCTTCTCTCTAGAGTCCAAAAACCATTCATCTCCATTTCCTGAACGATATCATCTATTCTGTCTTCTCTTCTTTCACTTAGCAGCCAGCCAGAAAAGCGACTGAACAGATTCCTCTTTTCAATTGCAAAGTCATCCACAAAAACTGAAACGATCTCAAAAGGGTTCTCCAGAAGTTCACTATCTGGTCCTCCTTCTAACACAACCAACTCGGCAACAAAGGACTCGCTTCTCTTGGTAAGGTACTCTACGATTTCCTTTCTAAAGTCAGCAGCCACTGAACCAGGTGTGTTGAAGAGACCTCCTGCTGTATTATCAACACATGCTGTGGCTAACCCAGGAAGTAGTGCTTCAGCCACCTTGTGAACTACTTCTGTATCATAAAGATCACAATGAAACACGGGGCCTCCTTCTTTCTCTACTTCAATCTTCTCGGGCCCAAGGTCCACCTCTGTTATAGGAGCTTCCATGCTTGACAGCTCCTGCAAATTGCAGCTACAGATTGTAACATAAATTATTCATAAGTGGTTATTTCAGGATGATAGCACTTCGTCCTAATATTCTTCTATAAGGTCAAGCCTTTGTAGTTGATAAGGGAAACATCATTACATGCTTTCTCGTATCTATGGAAATTGTTTTACACCTTCCACCTGGCAACCTTCCTGGTTATGTATAAGGCAGATTTCACAATTGAAGGTCCATATTCATCTGCTAAAGAATTGAAAGAATTCATGGTGCTCCTTGTGTTCAGGATCAAGATTAGAATTTTTTTAGGTGATGGGATTAGATCATATTCGCATCAAATACGGTTTGATTTTATTTTTTTTAATACAAACAATACGCGTGACTTTTTTGCCCATTTGTGATTTATGTTCAAATAATCTAAGAGTTTATCTCTGATCGCATGCATTTCACAGATCCATTTCATTATAGGATAAGTTTTCTCAGAGTTAAACGTAACTGGGATCTGGGTAAGTAAAACCATCAGGACCAATACGGTATTCAATCCCTCAACAAACAAAATTACTGATAAAAAAACAAATAAATAACTTACTGCCATTGCTTTTGAGATTTAACACATAACTCACTTCAACCCCGAAAGAGATGAAACCTTCAAAATTTTAGAAGCAAATCCCAGGAAGAGTAAGAAAACGCAGATGCAAAACAAGGGCAGAGGCTCTCTTACAAGTTTTAGAGGAAAAAATATCGTATCTCCCTAACGATGAAAACGATGCAGGAGAAAGATAGTAGCATCATATATAGCTAATTTTGAGATGCGAAGCCGAAGCTCCATTCTTTTGTTCCACACTTCTATTGTTAAGTAATGTTAACTGTTCTAACGGTCCCATGTCGTTTTGACACCATCTCCGAACACTTCGTTGCTCGACCTAAAATCTCGCTTAGACGTTTTAAAGCTCACCAACACAAGCATCCATTAGGAAATCGGATCTGGATTAGACTCCGCCCCATTCATGTTTTCTTGGTGCAAGAGAAAGCTAAAAGCCCAAATTAAATACTATCAGGATTAAGTCCCGCACAAGCACGGTCCATTGATTTTTAAATTACAATTTTCAAGTTACTAGCTTTGGGCCTTATCCGACTTCAATATTCTTGGCCCATGGCTACTTTAACTTTCAATCTATCATTCTCAGCTTTGATAATAGATAGGGAAAATCGCAAAAAAAACCGTAAAATTAGAAAAATTATAAATTAAGACCCATCACAATATTAGTATAAGTTTTGACAACAATAATATGGGTTTTAACAATAATTTTTATAAACCGGTCCCTGTATGTAATTTTTTTAATTCTATGGTCTTTTTTACAATCTTTCCTAGTAGATATTGTAAATGCTTCGTCAGTAAATTTATTCAATAAAAAAACTTTAAAAGGTAGAAAAACAATAATATAACTTATTTCTTTGACTCTATCATTACACATTTGATATTGCCAATTAAATTCTGGTGGATTGTTAGAACCCGCATGGGATGTCCTCGCCTTATTAGGGCCCCCCCCCCCAAAAAAGGTAAGCATACAAGTACAGCCACGTGATGGCCGATATGTGGCACAGCATATCTTGGTGGGATCTTGTACCTAGTAATCTAGCAATGTTCGTGTTATTGCCATTATTCGTAAATATATAGATCTGCCCATATAAGGACAATCTTCCTCTTGATCTTGTACAATTAAGTTACTTGATTCCCTTGTGACGACCTCCACACTGGGATATACGGTCCCATGCTACTGAATAATTACACGCCTTGATGATTCATGCCGTTTATTTTTTTACCTCCCATCTCTCTTACGGAAGCTAGCTAGCCTCATAATTCATACATGCCCTGTTCAGTATTTATTGAAGCAAAAAAAGAGAGAGAGCAAATAAAGAAAGAAAAGCAGAGGCGTCCCTGAAAAGAATTTAGTATACAAAAAGGACCAACTTGTTGCGCACAAGTTCATGATTATGCCCATGACCTTATATAGCTGCGTAAACTTCCTCGTATAAAAACTCAAAACAGAGAAATTTTGGGTCATATGTTTCATCCTCGTACGCTGTGTCTTTCTAAAACTGTGCCAATGCGTGTATAGTTTTGTTGATGACCACCACTCTTTGTATTACCAGAGTCAAGCGTCACTCACACTTCATCGCCATCATTATTATCTCCCCTTCTCTTTTAGGACTTCACATTGTGATATCATTCCAACTTTTGCACTTTCTTTTACCTCTTTAATTTGCCTTTTTTACTTAAAAGATATGATCATTCTACTTTCTGATATCGTGTAACTTCCGCCAACTTATCTTCATATATTCTCGATCTTGTTTCATAATTTTATGGAACACTCGCTGATGATTTGGGTCCCAGTGTCTGTCTACCATCATCGCTATTAGTTCACCATCAACACACCAGTTTCAGGTCCCTATACATCACTGTTCCCTGGTCTCCTTGCTGTAACAATATCATCGTGGGTTTTGTATTGCCATCCAGTGGTTGTTAGAAACTTGAGGGAATTACTATACGGTCCTAAAAATGGATTTGGTCACCCAAATGTGCGAGAACAATTGACAAGTATAAAATACTACCTCCGGTCCTAAATCTAAGTATGGTTAACTAATTTGAGTAGATTAAAATAATAAGTTAAGTAAGTTATTTGTAATAAATATGTATTATTTTTCTTAAAATATTCTTACTAATCAAGTGTATTGATCAGAACTGCTATTATTTGAAGGACTACATTGGAAAAAAAAAATATAAATATGAGAGACAAAGTGAATTAGAGTTTTATATTTAAAACCAAAATAAATATTAAACAAGGTCATATATTAAAAAATAAAAGTAGTAACAAATTTCAATACAAAAAATGACAACAAATTTATGGTACTTACATGTTATTGATACTTTTTGATAATTAAATTCCCTTCCTCAATATGTCATGATATTTCTTCCTAGAAACTTGTCTGTTTTGTTCTATTTTTTACTCAAACCTTTTCTTCTTCTTCTTCTTCTTTTTCCCCTGTTCTTTACTTCTTCTGCCTGTCATCACTAAATTTATCACGGTTGTGATGTCTTTTTATAAGTATTACACATGTATCAATGATATTGATTATTTTCTTTGCAGGATCAAAAGTAAATTTAGCTTTTTAAAGTATAGTTTGTGGAATTTTACCTTTAATCTAACAACTTCACCACTTATCAATTGAAACAAAAATGTACTGCTCTCTCCTTTTCATACCTGTGAACTGTTTTTTTTTTTCCCCTCACACATTGTGATTGCATGGGTGCTTTAAGAAAAGAAGCAGAGCACGTGACATGCAAAGTGGTGAGTGGGGTGGCAAAGTGCAGTGCATGTGGTTGGCCTTTTTTCCAAAAGAATGATAATAAAAGTCAGAGGACTTTGTTCTTCATGGTAATGTTCTTCTCTGTTTTGAGAATATGTAAGGACTAAGATATCTCCCTCATTCAATCACCCTCCTACCTCAGTATCTCCCATGTTTAAAAAATAAAAAAAAATAAAAATAATTAAAAGCAAAAACAAAGTATGGACCAGATTTGAACAACCCCCAAAAAGCTGTTAACCCAACATCGCCCCGGATTGAATCTCAGACCCCAAAAGATTCCCATGCCTTTCCATTACTGACTTTCCTATCTAATTTCGTTAATGTCATGTATACTTTTGGAAAGATTATTATTTAAATATATTAAAGCTGTTACAAATGAGGATCGAACAACTGAAAATGTCTTTAACAGTGTTCTTTCCACAATAAAATTTACTACTAGTATTGATTTGTCAAGCAAAAAAAAAAAATGCATTTCATGCCAAAATAACATTTCTCCATGAATTTTTCTAACATGTTGTAGCTTGAAAAATAAAGAAAAGGTTTTGGCCAAAAAATTTTTTAAAAAAAGAATCGGTCATTATTTGTTAACAAAATTTTAAGCTCAATTTTTTATTCAACTAAAGCATGGCGAATTAGTCTGTGCTTCAATTAAAACTAAATCCAAACCCAAATAACATGTAATCAAAGTGAAATTTTGATTATCATAATATATTAAAAAGAATAACTCCAAAAATTAGCACTGAAAGAGTTGATCATTCATTAATAAATAATGGGGTAACCATTTTAATATTCATTAATAGATAAAATATAAATAAATATATTATAACCTGGATCATAAGTACATAGTAGCTGGTAAGATGGGATGAGATGACTAAGGATCAGTCAACATGTGAGGCAAAGCTAAAAATTTACAAGTTGCATTAGAAATCACATCCATAAATTTTCCGCTTACTTTTGCTCCAATGTGACTGAGGCACGCACGCACATTGCCTGCGTGTTCTTAAAGTAACTATAACTACATCAGCGAATGAGACTCCTGTATGTCTATAAAGTCTATCCCGGAGAGTGTCATTCCACTTATTCCGCTCTGTAACCAGTACTTCCCAATTCTCACTTTCTTGTGCGTGTCGCAACTTTCGAGTTTCAAGTCTCTGGTGCGAGATGGGACAACTTGCTCCCTTATCAGAAGAACCCATCAACGAAGAAGACCTTGCGAGCAGTAAGAGAAGAAGTCGCCACCAGGCATGGCGACACTGGATCAAGACCCACTTCTCACTGCTCTTCTCTAAGAAGTCTCACCACCTCAACGTTCTCCTTAGCGTTCTGGGTTGCCCCCTCTTCCCTCTCCCTCTCCTCCCACAGCCACATCTATGCCTCCGCCAGGCAAGCCATAATCTTCCCAAACATGCTCTGTTTCTCTATTCTTTGACTTATATTTGAAATTGTTCTTCTTTTCTATTTACTTTTCCTACCATATTTTGCTGCTATACCTTCTTTTGTTAGTTAATTAAGGCTGAAGTTTGGTATATGGTGAAGTATATACTACACTCTGTTTTGTTAGATCAAAGAATCACTGGCTTAAAGTCGATTAAAAAGTGCTGTTGTGGGTTCTTTTTTGACACTTTAATTACACAGTAGGCTAAGTTGTCATTCGTACCCCACTCTAAAGGTTTTTCTTTTCTCGTGTTTGGGCCTAGCTAAAGGCACTCGTCCCTCTATCTTACCATGTGCATCATCTGATTTACTCTAACCACCGTTATAGTTGTAAGAACATCAAAAAAGAGGGTGAAAAGGAGAAGGAAAAGGCAGATGTATGTAAATATAATGATGTGGTGTGTTATGACGTGGAATAGGTGTCATCGTCGGCTCAGTATATAATACAGCACTTTACGGCGGCGACGGGTTGCCGGAAGTTGGAGGGGAGAGTGAAGAATGTGTTTGTGACGGGGAAGGTGGCGATGGGTGTGGTGGATGATGCGGGAATGGGATCTAACGGGGTGTCAGAGAGAGGATGCTTTGTCATGTGGCAAATGGTTCCTGATATGTGGCTCATAGAGCTCGTCGTCGGCGCTCACAAGGTCGTTGCCGGAAGTGACGGCACCGTCGCCTGGCGCCATACTCCGTGGCTCGGCGCCCACGCTGCTAAAGGGGGCGTCCGCCCGCTCCGTCGTGCTCTGCAGGCAAGTCATCTCTTCTTTATTCGACCTTATTAATTAATATCTTTATAATTCGCTTGGGTCAGAGTCAATGAGTCAAATCTCCTCCATTCTTCAAGATTCGTATGATTCTGATTGGAAAAACCATATTGGAGGTACCTATACTTTTTTTCAATTTTCAATTTGGTACCTATGTGTTTTTTGTTCTTAACTAAATCTTTATTTTTCCTCTATTAACATCATTAATCCTTATGTAGAGACTAAAAATATCAATAGAACAAAGTTATAAGAGCTAATGTTGCTAAAAAGATAAAATTAAATGTTTAATTAAGAAAAAAAACACATAGAGTCAAATTAAATAGGTACCTTTAATATGGTTTTCCCATTCTGATTTTGTAATTTCCGCTTACATTACCCGTCCTCTTTCGTGCGAGACAGCTAAATTCGGTCATTAAAATCTAATTAATAACCTTAACTATATCAGACAATGGGAGGCACATTTAATTATGCTTTCAACCTAACCCCTGGCTTTCCATTTATAACTAATTTAGTTTGTCTCGGGTCGAAAACAAGGAATGAAGTAAATAGTGTTAGGAACTCTTGAGAATTATTTCATCCGTTTTTATTTATTAATGTGGTTAAAATTTTAAGTAGTGTGTCATCAGAAGGTGGATAATTTTTTTTAAAAAAAGAATTTTTATATAATGCATTAATTTTATTTTTCCTTGTTCCATGTATTTTCTTTTAGAGAACAAATGAATAAGAACGGAAAATATATTATATAAAAGGATGTTCAAATCTTATATACACGTGTACCAATGTTAAGTCCTGCTTACTTATTTTTTCAAGACTTGTCCATTAATACAATCATCGTGTATTGTTATTTGTATGATTATTTATGCTCAAATTAAACTTCTAATTCAACATCACTTCGAAGTTAAAAAAAGAAAAGAAAAAGGTTCTTCTGAAATTAAGGAACATGCTTCTGAAAGAAAATAATGATCCAAACAGACCAAACTCCGGGTCTCAAGGTCAAGGGTCCACTGAAAAATAGTGGAGTGACTTGATCAGCATCTCTGCTAGTTGTCGTTGCATAGAATGATGTAAAGAGATTGATTTGGTCTCTGTCTAAACGACATTGCGGTTTGTACCTTGTAGGGGCTAGACCCTTTGGCGGTGTCTGCCGTATTCTCTGCTGCCCAGTACATGGGAGAGAAGCAAATCTCAGGCGACGATTGCTTCGCGTTGAAACTGTCAGCTGATCAAGAGAACCTCGCGGACCGCAGTGATAGTACTGCAGAGATGATCAAGCATGTTACCTACGGTTACTTCAGCCAACGAAGCGGCCTCCTTGTGTACCTCGAGGACTCGTACCTCACGAGGATCCAGTCCCCTGGGACTTACCCCGCTTACTGCGAGGTCACCATGTCTACCAAGATCGAGGATTATCGAACGGTGGAGGGCGTGAGGATAGCCCACGCGGGGCAATCAACGGCTGTGATTACTAGGTTTGGGGACTGCCTCAAGGCTGGCCCATCCATAACGCGCTTGGAAGAATTGTGGACCATAGATGATGTTGCATTCAACGTCCCTGGATTATCCGGGGACTGTTTCATACCACCTAAGGAGTTGCAGACAAATTTTCCCTTGGAGGAGGATTTAGATTGGAGATCGCCCTTGCACGGATGATGATTCTTCCCTTGCCTCCACGGCCTGTCACTCTTTTGACACTAAATAATCTTTAAATGCTGAAATTGACTCGGAACAAAAATAGATGTGGGTAACTTATTACTTTTTGTGTATGTATATTGTAATTTGATTTGATTTGCTTCTTGATGTATGCTTGGATTGCTTATTGTTGGTGGGGAAATCTCCAAATTTTAAGAGAGGTCCCTAAAAAAAGAACAAAATTGAGTGGAGTAGAGATATTGACCATGAAAATCAATGTTATGGCTGTTTTTTTTTTTCCTTCTGGGCCAGAAGCTATGGGCTGTGGTGCTTTTGTGTCATTGATATGTAAGTCATTTCCTTGCACCTTTTCAGTTTTCATGTCAAATATTTTCTGGACACTAAAAATAAATAATTTGAAAATGCCATATATTCGTTAGCTGTTTTCTCTCACTGCTCTTTGATGCCTCGTGGTATTTCGTAAATCGAATGCATTCTTTTTATTTTCGGTGAAATATCGAAAGATAATTAAAATACCTAGTGTTCATTAATACTATTCCCTGTCTTTAATATAAAATTTTGTTTGATTTTTGTTTTGATTCTAAATATAAAACCTCAATCTATTTTGTCTATTATATTTATAAATTTTTTTCCCAAAGTAATTCTTCTAATAATAGTAGTTCTAACCAATATACTTGATCAATAAGGATATTTTAGAAAATACAACACATATTTATTACAAGTAATTAATTTAATTTTTTTTCTTTAATCTCCTCCAATTAGTTAACTAATTTTTATAATTAGGACCGAAGATAGTATTACGTAAAGTGAACAAAGTTGCCACCAACGGAATTGAGTGGAATGATAGTTAGTCTTTTTAAGTTATCATATGCAAAAAAATTCTTATATTTAATACTTGACAATATTATGAATGCGCTTTCAATTGGAGAGTGTATATGCATGTGTAGGGCATTTGATAGCTTATAATTTTAAAGTTTATAATGGATTTTCATATATAAAGTGTATGGGGAATTTTTCAAAAAACAATCATGATTTTTGCTTAGACTTCAATTTTTTTATCAATTGTCAATTAATCACAACTAATTTTATAACTCAGCTATAATTAAACTCTATTTTTTACTCTAATCCAAACACGCCCCAACAATTCATAAATCGCGATTTTTTAATGAAAAATCCCGAAATCACTTTTAATTGAAAGGAGTTTTGATGAGGAGACAGAAATTTATTGAGAAAATTCACATCCATTTTCAGCGGGCAGTAAATCTCCAGTCGAGATTAGGATAATTTGGTGCATCTCTGAGAACCCGTATAACTTTCCTTTGAACAAAACATTGAATCCGTATAACTGTACAGGGGAGACATCTACCCTGGTTCTAATACGGTGCTTTAAAATTATGCTTCTTTTCTGATCATAACGATTCAGCCAGTGTGAAATTTCGGCGGAAGGCGGTCGATCAGAACTTGGAAGTAAATGTCTCAGTTACTGTGTAAGCGTTGGAGCAGGTTGGTTACATCACTCAGAACAGCAAATTGTGGGAAGAGAGTTCAACTCTCGGCATTGACCTTTTCCACCAGCTCTGCCGAGCGTGACAGTCCGAGTCGATCCAGTCCGCCTCCAATTCGAGTGGGTTTTACCGAGTCAGCTGGGCGTGGTGTATTTGCCACTCGAGCAATCGGAGCCGGAGATCTCATCCATACTGCCAAACCCTTTCTGAGCCACCCTCCTCCCTCTGTTATCCACACTGTCTGTTATTTTTGCCTCAGAAAGCTCCGAAATTCGAGCCAACCTGAAGATGCAGGCGTATCATTTTGCAGTGAAGAATGCAAAGAACGTTCTAAGGTGCATTAACATTACTTATTCCACCTAATTTGAAGTCATTTAAGGCAGTGCTCACCACTTGTTCGAAGTTTAGACTCTGCGGAGTCATTTGAAAAATTTTGGCTCCTTCACAGTCATAATTTGCAGAATGTACTATTCACAAGTTAGCCAGTAAAAGAAAGCACATAGAAGTGTGCTTTGTGTGTCGTGGTCATTCCTCTGCCTCTTCTTTAACCATGCATAATGGCATCACAGGGATTGATCAGTTGAAATTTTAGTATTGTCAGTCTCTTTATTCAGTGATTCATGCTCGATGGATTCACTGCCGCTTAGTAAGAGTACAGGATTAATAATATACAATTTAATGCAATATGTTTCTGACGAAGAAAGCAGTTCATAAAATATAGGTAACGAAGTGACAAGGCGTGAAAAGTATGGATTCTATCTGTTAAACATGAAATTTTGATACTTATGATATCAAATTTTATCCTAAAGAAATACTATGATTACTATTAATCTGGTTAACATTTGCTTCGAGGTTATTATTACATGTCTTATTTTCAGTTCAGTCTTGGGTCTGATGTTTTATATAACTGCATCAAGTTGGTTTGCATCATATTATTCCATTGAAACAAACTTTTCTAAGAATTTTTTTTTTTTTGGTAGGAGTTTTATGATGTTGAGATGAAAGCGAATTGGATGGCTTTTGATGATTATTGCCGGTATGTAGTTTTGTTTTCAAGTTTCACTGAAGATCAAGATACTATTTCATTTCATTAATGCCGGCTCTAGCTTTTTTCGTTTGTTTAGTTGGTTTCAGATGTTCATAATTCTGTTAAAACTGGAAGTGAAGAAAAAACATCTTTAGTGTAAAGTTTTAAAATTTCTGTTCAGTTTATCAGAAAATTATGACGCTGACTGTACGGTGGAAATGGGAGAATGATAAAAGGGGCTATTTTTTCATCTCAGTTGGCTCGAGAACTTCAGCCAAGCAGGATTTAATTCTGAAACATAGCTTCAATCCTTCTCACTCCTTAGGCACTCACATGCAATTTCACCAGAAGAATCATCTTTTATATATACAATCTAAGTATCAGTACACCTCTTTATTGGGCGTTAATGGATCAGCATTGTACAACAGAGTGTTCAAGACTTGTAGTGAGGAACATAATAACAGCTAACAGCATAAACATGGAAAGGAGAGGGGGGAAAATCAATGTCTATTAGAATAGTAGAAATTCTAGAACTTCAGTCCATGTAAATGTTAAGGACCCTCTTGTTAAATTATTGATCCTTAAAGTCTTAGATTATTATTTATTTATTTATTGCTTAATTGATATGTAAAAGTTACTTGATTTCTTTTCAAAGGACCCACGGTTTGAAATATCCATTTCTGGTAAAACGGTTGGCTTGCATGATCATATCAGGAGTTGCTAGTGTAGACAGTCTTGACATACTTCAACCTGCCAGCTTGACTCCTGAGATGATATTTGAGGTGAGAGATTTATTATTTACTTATAATAAGGATGGAAACTTGAATAGAGGTCAGTAGATTTCTTCAAGAAATGAAAATTGACTTCACTATCTAAATTGGCATGAGATTACTTAATTAATTTTTTTTAATAAAAATCCTAGTACGAAATCCTATATGCTAGTTAATTGCTTTTAAAGCTTCTTTTACTAAAACATTTATTGATGTACAAGTTAAAATTCGATTAGCATTAATTACACAGCTTTGACATCAAGACGTGGCTGCTATGGATGGACATGATCTGTCTATCCGTGTTTCATTTTCAGTTGGAAGAGGGTTTTGCCTTGTTTAGGAACGCCTTCACGAAGACACTTATTGCAGATGAAGATATTGCTTGTATCCTCCTTGTGTTAGAATGCTTTTTGTGCAGACAAGCACACACGTAAACACTGAGACAAATCAACATTGGTTGGGAGACTCCTTATCTTGACATTTCAAAGTTCTAAGCAAGCAATGGTACATTAGTGTCCTGGCCCGAATTCGTATTAATGCATTTCGAGTTGAACTGGCTGGAGTCTTGTATGAAGACCTGCTATCATCTGCAGTTGCATCTGTAGAAGCCGAAGCTGCTGTTGGAAATGCTGTCTACATACTTCCATCATTCTACAACCATGACTGTGGTAATTGCATTATTATTATTATTATTATTATTATTATTATTATTATTATTATTAATTACTGTCCTTGATTCTGTCCTCAATGGACATAAAACACGATGGGATGATTGGATGATTACCGGGAATGTTCAATTCCAAGAGCATGTTCTATATGCGTTAAGAACTGAAGAGGCTATGCTTTTGTTACTGTAGATCCTAATGCACACATGATATGGATAGATAATGCCGATGCAAAACTGAAGGCCCTCCGTAACGTTGAAGAAGGTTTGTCTCAGATTGCAATTTGTTTAATGATTAATTGTTTTTCAGGTTAAAAAAAAAAATTATATTGTTTGTTTCTCTTCGGAGGCTTTTAGGTTGACTTTCCAATAAGTAATGCATTTGATAATTTCCTTTGCGAATGTCCTCATTTTGACGTCTTATGTCATCTGACTCCTTTGCTAATAATCTGACAATGGTATGAAGAAACAAAAAGAGTTAAGGAGCTGTTTTGAAGACGCAAGCAATTCTGATAATCTTATCATGCTACAATTATCCCTGGACCTTTCTGCTTTGGTAAAATTGTTAATGGCTATAATGAAGAATGCTCTTTCCCCCCCCCCCCCCTTGTGGCATATTTCAGGCGAAGAACTAAGAATCTGCTACATTGATGCCAGCCTGGACCGTTATGCTCGGCAAGAACTTTTGCTTCAAGGTTTTGGTTTTCAATGCATTTGTAATAGATGCTTACAAGGCGACTAATATATGTCTTTGGAATTTTTCTCCTAAATTTTGTAATTTCGTTTGATTGAAAGCACCCACCGGGCTGGAACTGCCAACATTCGTCTAGTCATTTCTCAACATGTGTTGTCAAATTCTTTTTTCAAAAAAAAGAAGAAGAAGAAGAAGATAAATTAACCTCACACACTTGTTTTGCGTATGATACTAATTTACAGAGATATATTTATTAATTTACGATTAGTGTATTATTTTGAATAGATTAAAATGCATTAGCATCAGGCAAGCGGATTGAAAAATGAAAAGTAAACTAATTATTGTGGTTTTTGTTTTTGTTTTTATTTTTATTTTCGTACAAGTAGTTTGGCTTGTAATCTTCGAATATATTAATGACTCAGAAATAATTAAAAAAAGAATTGCGCACATAGAAACCCACAAATCAGCTGAGGGATTTTATTTGGGAGGGCAGTTGGTTGAACTAAACTTTAGTTCAGACTCGATTGATCCTCTTGACAAAAATTGCAATCGGCTTCTATCATGAGCACATGGAAAATCTAAATTCTGATACAAGACACAGTATGCTGTTATAAACTTTGTCAGCCCTTATAAATTCTTTGGGGATGTGCAATTAAGCATTTTAATGCACATGCTGGGGGAAAAAAGCATTTTAATATATGTGACTTTTTTTTTTTTGGGTTAAAACTTATAACTTGGTGTTTCGTCATATTCCGTTTATTATTGATAAGATTCAAATTTTATAATTGTAGTTGACGCGCTCTAGTTCGCGAACCGTTGGTTGTGGACCTGTGGTGGCTAGTTCGTTCGAGAGCTAATTTCTTTCTCACACCCTTTCTTCCCCATTATTTCTATACGAAAGAAAATATCAAAGAAAATAATTAACTAACAAACATCATTACTAACTAATCAATGACGTGAAATAAAGAGAGCTCCCGCCATCTCAGCTTTAGGTGCCTTTGTGAGGGGTGTGACCGTGCGGCAAAAAGAGAGCTGTTATGAGAGAAATTCTCACATTTCTAAAATTAAACCAGTTTTAAAACTACCTAACACTTATCTCCTTCTTCCTTAAATCCTCCCCACTTTTCTTTGCCTTTCATACTCCTCTCATTTTCTTTTAAAATCAAACCAAACCTTTTCTTTTATAGAGCCGGGTTTGTTTACTTGTTTTTCTTTTTTGGTTCAGTAAGAAATTAGCTAAGTTTTCAAGTCAACAGTATTTTTAACTGCACACCCCTTTAGTTACCACCCTTTTCTCCTGAACTGGACTCCCATTATTCTTGCTAGCTAATCATGGGGTCCTTTTCCCTGAGTTCATCTTCCTCTGTGTTACCAGGTAGGCTCATTAGAGTGCCTGAAAATAATGACTTGTGTTCTTCAAGGAGGAAGGCAATTGTTGTGTGTTGCCAAGGAGGTGGAAATGTGATTAAGTCCAGTGGGATTTCTTCTGTTTTGCCAGAAAGATCACCATTGGTGAGCACAGATCATACTGCAACTGTAATGGATGCTGGAAGCTTGGTCTTGTCTCCAAATGGGAAAAACCAGGCAGAGATTGTTGTGAATGATTTGATGCCTTTTGCTGGGCCATCGCCCACCACTTCCATAGGATTGAAAGATGGAATAGGCATCGTCAAGTTTCTCAGAGGAAAGAAGTTTTTCATTACTGGTGCTACCGGGTTTCTAGCAAAAGGTTTTTAGTTTCTCCCTTTTCTTTTCGTGCATCTTTGGGTTTCTTAGATGATTCGTGCATTAAAAATGGTGCGTAATTAACATGTATCTACGGTTCATCCAGTTTTTATTGAGAAGATTTTAAGGACTGAACCTGATGTGGGCAAAATGTACCTTTTGATCAAGGCAAAGAACAAGCAAGCTGCAATGGAGAGGCTGCAGAATGAAGTATTCTTTCAGTGATACCCTCCTTCAGTATGCATTCGTTAAATTTGGTGTTTTCATTTCTTGATCATAATTTTACTTCTTCTTCTTCTTCTTTTTTTTTTTTTTGGTGATTTTAGATCATAAATACAGAGCTTTTCACATGCCTACGACAAACCCATGGAAAATCCTACCAAGCATTCATGTTGAGCAAACTGGTTCCTGTTGTAGGCAATATTTGTGAGTCTGGTCTTGGACTAGACGAAGATCTATCTGATCTTATTGCAGACGAAGTAGATGTAATTGTAAATTCTGCTGCTAATACAACATTTGACGAAAGGTTAGCCTCTAAATTTATAGAAGTTTCTACATTTTCTTGTCTGAGTTTTGCCTAGTTATAATCTGAGTTGTATTTATAGAAGTTTCTACATTTTCTTGTCTGAGTTTTGCCAAGTAATAATCTGAGTTGTTTGAAATCTCAGATATGACACTGCTATCAACATAAACACCAAAGGACCCTGCCGCCTTATAGGCCTTGCAAAAAAGTGCAAGAAGCTTAGGCTCTTTCTCCATGTCTCGACAGGTAAAAGGAAAAAAGAAGGAATAAGATCAGAGATAATATGACTTGAATGAAAAATGCCTAGAAATCAACTCATGGTAAAAGCAGCTTAAGATTTTTGAGTTCCTTGTCTGTAATTTGCAGCATATGTTAATGGACAAAGGCAAGGTAAAATCACCGAGAGGCCATTCATCATTGGAGATAGCATAGCCAGAGAAAAGTTTGTATCAGAAGTTCCAGCAGAAGCCTTGCCCTTATTGGACATAGAAGGAGAGATGAAGCTGGTTTCACATTACAAGGGAAAATATGAAGGCAACTTATTAGCTCAGAAGATGAAGGAGTTGGGTCTTGAGAGGTATTAAGTGTCTCTGTCTTTCAATTTTCCAGAATTTCCAAGAAACATAAAGGACGCAAAGTCCTCCACCTTTGCAGTGTGAAATTTCATGATCTTATTCGTTGTTAAGTTATTGTTTGAAACAGGGCCAGACTATATGGGTGGCAAGATACCTATGTGTTCACAAAGGCTATGGGAGAGATGATGATTGATAAACTGAGAGAGGATATTCCAGTTGTTATAATTAGACCTAGTGTTATAGAGAGCACTTTCAGTGAGCCATTCCCTGGTTGGATGGAAGGAAATAGGTATCTCAACACCTCTATAACAATGAACAAGAACTTTTTATGACCAATCCACGGACTAAAATAAGATTATTTTCCCCTTTTGGAAAATAACCCCCTTTGAGATCATATGACAGAACTAACAAACCTTCCTTTTAACTCCCAGGATGATGGATCCTATAGTTCTGTGTTATGGAAAAGGGCAGCTCACAGGTTTCTTAGTGGACCCAAATGGAGTATTGGATGTGGTAAGTGACGTATATTTCCCATTCAGATTCTTCCAGACAGTACAGTTTTATTATCAGATGTAATATAAAGCCAGGCGAAGTGGATCAGAAGCATTTTACAGTTTGATTAAAGCATCTGACACAAACATTTGCTCTCTTAAACTGAGTGATTTACAGGTACCAGCTGACATGGTTGTTAATGCAACCATGGCAGCCATGACAAAGCATGGTATGGCTCGAAAGCCGGAGATGAAAGTGTACCATATTGCCTCATCTGTAGTGAACCCTCTGGTGTTCCAAGAGCTAGCAAGACTGCTCTATAAACACTACACTTCCTCACCCTGCTTTGACTCAAAGGGAAGGCCAATTAAAGTCCCAACCATGAAGCTGTTTAGCTCCACAGAAGATTTCTCTGCTCACCTCTGGACAGATGCTATTGAGAAAAGTGGCCTCACAGCCATGGACAAACTGCCCCACAGGCTGGAAAGTTTATGCAGAAAATCAGTTGAGCAAGCAAAGTACTTGGCCAACATATATGAGCCCTACACATTCTATGGTGGAAGGTAGACATGCTAACCAACCAAGAAGCATAGATATTGATGGCAATTCTTGAGGAATAAGTTATTCACTGACCAAGTACTAAATAAATGTAATTGTAATGCAGGTTTGATAACAGTAATACAGAGAGATTAAGGGAGATGATGTCAGAAGAGGAGAAGAGAGAGTTTGGGTTTGATGTAGAGCGAATAGATTGGGAAGATTACATGACGAATGTGCATATACCAGGGCTAAGGAGACATGTGATGAAGGGAAGAGGAATGGGTGGCCGATGACTCTTTCAATCTTGTGACGTCTAAATACCACTCAGTTCACCAACCATCTGTAATAAATTACGTACTGCTTCTGCTCTTTTCAACCTAACGAAGATGGCCCCGCCACGGGTATAGTTCATATATATGTTATCCATATTGTAATTTATCAATAATTCAAACTATAGTTCATATATATGTTATCCATATTGTAATTTGTGTTTCTTTTTTGGGCCGAGGTTCTGTTCAAATTAAGTGTTGTTGAAGAAACTTGGAGTATCCTCACTCGTGAGCGCCAACCTAAAAGAGCTTAAATCTTAGCATCTTTTTTGAATTATTGCATGATAGGAAAATTACTAATTATGACGAATGTCAAGACTATGAAAGAACAATATCCATTTCTTTTAATAAACTTTAAAAAAGGAACAAGTAGTTGTTAATATTTAATGATAACAACAAAAAATAAAAAAAAATTAAATTTTCAAAAATTGAAATGACTACTAACTCACTTTTTTCCCCCCTGAACTCACTGATTCAATAGAAAGTTCAAGCAGAAATTCCTCGGGGACATCCGACTGGAAAAACTACTTACATGTGTTTTATGTATAATATAAATCATAAAATTTATGAGACAAAACATTAAGTACATGACTTACTTTGAAGGGAAAATTACAATAAGGTTCTGAAAAAAAACTACCAACAAATCCTAATAACTATTCCTAGTTCAATTTATAAGACAGAGAGAGAAGTTTTTTTTTATTCTACTTATAAGTCACTTCATTAAATTTTTAATGTGAATGTGTTATTTTGTCATTTATTTATTATAGTGTAGGTAGTTATTTCTTTTAAAATGTGTAAATATTAAATATGGGTAAAGTTAAAAATTATTATATTTTAATGAAGAGTTAATACATTTTAAGGTTTTTTTTTGTCTGTATGAAATATACTAAAAGTGCCTTATAAATAAGACCAGAAAAATAATTAGAAATTATTACCTCTGGTCCTAATTATAAGAGCTAGTTGACTAATTTGAGGAGATTAAGGAAAGAAGTTAAGTCATTTATTTATAATAAATATGTGTTATTTTTCCTAGAACTATTATTATTAGAATGACTATCTTAAAAAAATACATAAATATAAGAAACAAAGTAGATTAAGGTTTTATATTTAGAACCAAAATAAAAATTAAACGAGATCTTATATTAATAACTGAAAATAGTATTATTTTTTATTTTATAACTTGTCGATACAAACTATTTAAGATGTTATAAAGTTTTTTTGATAAATTTTTTTTTTTTGCACTTAATTGCAGTTCCCTCTGCTTTAAGCTATAGGCGGGACACATAAATCACGAGGTCTTGATCACATTTGAAAACATCATTTATTGCAGCATACCAGCCAACCTATCGGGTGGGCTAAAAAAGAGTAACTTCTTAATCATGAGGATGTTGACATAAACGAGCTGGATTTTAACTATAGCTTGATACCGCCTCCAACTGATCTTTAAAAGCTCCTTTAATTTTTATTTTAATTTTAAATATAAAATTTTAATTTATTTTATTTTTATATATTTTTTTAATATAATCTTTATAATAGCAGTAGTTCTAACCAATACACTTGATTAGTAAAGATATTTTAGAAAAGACAACATCTATTTATTACAAGTAACTAACTTAACTAATTTTTTTTAATCTACGCAAATTAATCAACTAGGTCTTATATTAAAAATCGGAGGTAGTATAATTTTTTGTTTTTGAAACTTGGACTCATTTTGATTTTGGCCTGACAAATTTCGAACACATAATTTTAGTCTCTAAAATTTATTTTGTCTTTAAAAGTTAGTCTTTAAAAATGTAACAGTGTTAATATCTGTTGAAATGTTATATATAATGTTACAATGATGATGTGGACTTACCAAATGGCACTTAGGTGTATCTTTAGTGGATAAAAATAAAAGTCCTCAAAAAGCAAGGCAAAAAATAAAGGGAGAGGAATTTTCAAAATACAACACAATGATTAATGAACAACTTCTCAAACAAATAATAATATAAAAAAAAGAGCTAAAAGGCTGCGCTTTAAGGACGTTCTTTTTCTTTTTCCCTTTCTATTATCCACACAAATCCAGCTTAGATGTCATTTTGTGAGTTTATACCATTTTAACAATGTTTATAAGATTTTAGTAAATTTTAACACTATTATATTTTTATTGACTAACATTTTAAGGTAGGTTAAATTTTAAGAACTAAAAACATATGTTTAAAATTTGAGGACCAAAATCCAAATAAACTTTAATTCCAAGGATCCAAGTTTTTTTTTTGGTCCAAAATCCAAGGATCAAAGTTTGCATCAACGTTTTAACTAAGCTTTTTCACTTTCTGCTAAGAGTTTTGTCATTTATGTTTGCATCTTTCCGAGAATCTCACTTGCCAATTGTCAATTGTCATCCTGTACACGTGTCTATTCTTCAGAAAACAAATCTTCTCTGTCTCTTATTATAAAATTTTAAATTTTGAATTGATCTTCATTTTTTATAAAGTGTTAAATGTAATTTTTTATACATTTTATCTTTAATTAATAAATTCTTTTTCGCTATCTCCTTCTCATGTAATAAAATAAAACTAAAAATAATACTGAGTTACTGACCCAGTCAGTCATCGCGGGAGGGGAAGACGTACATGTGCGTGGGCCCAGCAGTCAAGACAGGACCATCCATGGCATTAACGTACGACGCTATTATTTTTCGGCCAATTAATGCGTGAGCTAACGCGTTGCGCTATTGTACTCGGGGGGGAAAAAAAAAACACGAGTTGCGCTATTGAAGTCTATAATAAATATTTAATTAATTTAACTCTATTAAAAATTACTTAAATTAATTATTTATAACAAATAAATATTGTATTTTTTAAAATATCATTACTAGTTATTGTATTAATTATAATTATGATTTGATGAAACATTTAATATTTGTTACTTTCAACATATTTTATACAAATTAAAGAAAATATTGAACTTCGTTAACTCTTATTTAAAATTTAATAACTTTTTAACTTTATCCCTATTTAATATACATTATACCTCATATAAATAAAATCAACATAATAATAAATAAAAGGTAAAATTATACATCCATATAAAAATTTCTCTCAGTACTCTATAAATAGAACAAAAAATATCTTCTTTTTCTTTTATAAATAAGACCGAAAAATACTATATTACCAAAAAAACTTTAAAAAAATAAAGTAAATTAGAAATTTATATTTAGAACCTAATTCTTTTAAAGATGAAAGGTATTACAACATATATTTTTTCCTGGGATACCGGATGGAGTAATCCAAAAAAAAATTATATTAAATGAAAGTCATCTCATGAATCATATGAAAGGGTAAAATAGAAAAAATAAATAAATATTATTTTGCTACTTAAACTTCGTTTAATTTCAATTTGCTTGTGTCTTTAAGAGGAGTAGCTGTTAATTTTCATTTTCATGTGGAATCAATACTCAAGAGGCGTAGAAAAAAAGTTCTCCAGGTCATTTGCCACCATAAATCTCTGCCAGCAAAATCCAACGAATCTGAGGGCCCACACCAAAATCCAAACGTTTATAATAAATTATTTATAGAATAGTGCAAGTATCCTTGTTTAAATTAAACCTCACTATTTTAACATTGAGGTTCTTGCCTGCATCAAGTCCTGCCATTTTTTCTTCGACCTTTCTGGTTGTAATTAATTCTTTTCTTGCTTTTCCTTTTTTCACTCACTGCTCTTTGTTCGGTTTCAACCTCCAAAGAGCGAAGAGAGAGAAAATGATGGAGCGTTCGGCAGCAGTGTGGCAGGGAGCTGCTCTCGGTGGATTATTCTTCTGGGTTGTGTCATCTTCATACCTCAATGTGACTCGCAGGCTTAGATCTTTCCTTCGGCCCTGGGTGATTCAACATGTCGAGTCTGGAACGTCTATTGTCCTTCAGATCCAGGTAGGCAATGAGTTGTGATTAAAAGGTAATTAAATATATAAATAGAAACTCGGATTCTTATTCTTGGAACCTTCTATCTTCTTTTTTTTTCCCCTTTTTGTTTTCTTCTGTAATTTTTTGCGTTTGTTACATGGCGGGATGTTGCAGAGTTACGGGCATGGAATTCTGGACGCTTTTTTCTCTGGATTGTGTTGCACTGTTTCTGTTCCCTTTTACACAGCTTTTCTTCCTCTGGTATTCTGGGTAAGGGTGTCTTTAGTTTTCTGTGGCTTCTGTAAACTTCTGGTCTGCTTTTCATTGATTTAAATGGTGAATGTGATTTTTCTGTTGCTAAATGAGTTTCGAGAGTTCATGCGGTAGTTTTTGACGCCTCTGTAGAGTGGATATAGCAAATTGGCAAGGCAGCTAACGTTGTTGATCGCGTTCTCTGATTATGTTGGTAATTGTGTGAAGGTACGTGTCTACATACTACTATCAACTAGATCAGACTATAATTCATCTCAGTCTTTTTCCATCAAGATGCTTACTTACCTGCGGAATCTGCCGTTCAATAGGATGTTGTATCAGCTCCAAGACCAGCTTCTCCGCCTGTTCGGAGACTTACAGCCACGAAAGACGAAGAAGACAATGCGTTAGAATATGGGTTGCCTTCATCTCACACTCTTAATACGGTCTGCCTCTCTGGGTATTTTCCCTCATTTGCGTTTATGGCAATTTTATAATTTACGTGGTGTTATTTTAGAGTTGTCAATGTGTCAATAGGTACTGTTGAGAATACATATGCCTCATTAAGTTTCACACAAGTTTAACTCCTATGAAAAAGTACAATTCTATGCATTATATTTTCTATCTATTGCCTGTAATGACCAAGGTTTAAACTTCAAAAATAGAACACCCCCCCCCCCCAAAAAAGGTTGCTTGATAAATTGCACAAATTGTTAAATATTCCTTTATTTAGGACTTTAAAAGTCCATACAATATGGTTGGCAAGAAGGCATATAATTCTCTCGAGCAGTTTCAGAATTGTTCCCTGCAATTGCGCTTCTCATTAATGGATGTTTCTCCCGGAATCGATGCTTTACAGATACATTGTGCACTATATCCTGACTCATACTCAAATTCAAGGTGGTTGTGCTGGTGTACTTGGAGTTGTCTTAGCTAGCTTACTCGTGGCTTTCATTGGTTTGGGTAAGTATATCTCACTTCTACGTCATGAGCAACTTCCTTCTGTTGGCTTAATGGACCGCAGAACAGCGGAAGTGTGACAAATATCTGGTCTCTTTCGCAGGAAGGATTTATCTTGGCATGCACAGTTTGGTCGATGTCATTGGTGGTCTTTTTATTGGACTCGGAACCCTTGCAATTTGGCTTCAGATTGATGAATGCCTAGACAGTTTTTTGACCTCAGGACAAAATGGTATCCTTAGTTATAATATGTTGATCACAATGGAGCTTTAACTGTTGCAAACATATGCTGGCAATTAAATTGGGGAAATCCAATTATTTGTAATCTTCTATTAAAATATCTGGTCCTAAAGAGCTCATTTTAATTGAAAATGATAGTTTTTCTTTTTGGGAAGCCATTTTGATATTCTATCTTATAATTGATCATCCGTTTTTGTTGCAGTTACATCATTTTGGGTTGCCTTGAGCATACTCTTGCTCTTTGCTTACCCAACTCCCGAACTTCCAACGCCAAGTTTTGAGTTTCACACTGCATTCAACGGTGTTGCGTTGGGAATTGTGAGTAGTTATTCATCCTTTGGCATTATCTGAGCATCTTGTTTTACCATCCTTCTCCTTTGGTGAGATTAATCTATATCCTTACTGGGTTAGATTTGTCTGTCCAAGAAGAGGTAACTTTGACTAGGTGATTTTTTCCATCTACGAAGTTAAAGTTTAAACGCTGTTCAAAGTACCGAGTCTCTTTTGTTTGACCTTACACATAACTACGCAAGATTTGTTAATTTTAGGTATAACTTAGGTGGCCTCTTTCTATTCACACATGGTCCAATGAGACACACTGTTTAGGATTTATGAATAGCACAGCTTTTTATACGATATGAAGAAAACACAAAAATGAAGAACCTTGTTATAAGCAACTACATATGGGCGCTTTAGTTGATGCTTAAGAGTGATAACTTATCAAGCCGCAGAAGTAAATAAATTAAAATTGATGTGTAAGGTTAGAATGTTGAAAATATATTCATTCAAGAGCCAAGATCACTGGCACATCTACAGAACCCTCTTTAAAGTCCATAGCTGGAGATGCTGCGGTTAAAAGTCAAGCAAATTCTGAAGCGTAGAAGCAATGCAGTTAACACTATACACCACCACAAGTTCGATGAATAGTTACTTATGATTAAAGTCATGGATTCCACAAGGGTTGTGTCCTGGATGAAGAGCTTTCTTCAGCTACTGGTTCCTCAAATAACTGCTTCTCTGTTTTCTAGCTTGTCTAATGCTGATAGGACTTCCAAATCCCCCATGCAGAACTTCAAGGAAAAGAAATGAATCATTTGTAATGTATACTTATCTAAACATTGTTTATTGCCCCGGTACTATAATTTTATATACACAAGTAGACCCGTGCTATGCATAATTAGCCTGGTGACGAATTTAATAATAGATAGGAGTATTTGGTATATGATGCATGGGAGCCTGCATTTAAGGCAGCCTTTTTAACATCTTTAGCACCCTTGAGCATCCAAATTACTTCTTTCGAGTTGTATTTCCCTAGTGTTATAATATTTCCTTCTTATTTTGGATGGAGACCTTTAACGAATACTAGTAATATATTTAATACTGCTCCAATCCTAAATATAAGACCCTTATACTAGTGTGTATAAGGTCTTGTATTTAGGATCGGAGGAGTAGTTATTAATGAAGATTATAATCCATGTGACCACCAGCTTCACTCGAGAGAGATGAAGTTACTTGTCATTTATGAATATTTTTTTCTTGTAACATGTACGAATCTCAATATACTGTGCAGGTTGCAGGAGTACACCAGACATACCATCAATTTCACCATGATTCTGTACCACGTGTGTTCTCCCCACAACTGGCAATCACAATACCTGGATTTGTAGGGAGAATGCTAGTGGGAATACCTACAATCCTGATCGTGAAATTCTGTAGCAAGGCTCTAGCAAAATGGACTCTTCCTGTGGTATCAAACACCTTGGGCATCCCAATAAAATCAACAAGTTATATCCCCACATTGAAAGGATCTTTCCAGGTAAAGAAGTCTGACAAGCTCAGACCGGCTTATTTGCAAAAGCTGCTTTCTCAGTATCAGGTATTTGATATTGATACCGGCATTAGATTTCTTCAGTATGCGGGTCTTGCATGGTCTGTGGTTGACCTTGTGCCGTCGCTTTTTTCATATCTGAGCTTGTGAGCGAAGAGATGCTGAGCGCATTTCATCCACTCATTGCCCAATGACTATATGTAAAATTAATTTTCGTAAGGTAATAGATTATTACATTTTTCCACACTCAACGAGCAATTTATTTTAGATAAGCTCATTTGCCATCCGCGTCGTTGACAATCAGCAAAATATGTTGTTTACCAAACTGGTACCAGTTTAGTGGCTAACCGCTGCTTCAAGAATCATACCGCGGGGAGTAGAAGATCAATCACTCTATAAATGATATTATAAGTGTATTTCATGCATCTTTTTCTTTTCTGAAAATCGGTAGAATATTGCAAAGCATCTATTGAGATATTTAAAAAAAAAAAATCACCGTTGCTTCTAGAGCCTGAGAACGGGTGTGAAGCATGAGAATAAATGAGGAGAATAGTCAAGATATCCACATTTTGCTTGAATGATACATATTCTGACAAAACGCAACTTTAACAAGATGTCCGGCAAGTTCTTGGGCGGAACAAATCAGTCGAATGTTACCTGCCTACAATACATCAATGCGATGTCCACAACCACCATAAAAGCATCGGAAGCCTTACATCCACCATGGCTTCAAACGCTCATAGAAATCCTCCAGACAAGGTTGCACAGCTACCAGATACCAAAGCAGAAGTAGACGTAACCATGATATCAGCATGACATTGAGCAGCTCTATTAAAGGAAGTAATCAGGTGTTCTACGGGTAACATCTGGTTCTCCCCTCCTAGGAGCAGGTTCAAACTGCAACATTCACTTCAAATTTATGCATGAAGGATACAAGGCAGAGGACTGACTAAAACAGTAACTACGACAATTAGAACAAGAGCAAATTATGGGAGGCGTGTGTGTGCGAGCGTGAGAGAGAGAGAGAGAGAGAGAGAGAGAGAGAGAGACCTGGATGAAAGTGTGGTCCTTGCAATCATCAACTTCCAATATGGAAGCCATGTTCCCGCACCGATAACAGTAATTAGGAGCGCTAAATATGGTAACCACCTTTTGTTCCTGTTTCAACAAAACGGTAAATATCTACGACTTTACCTTCTTAATTTTAGAGCAGAAAACATAAGGAGGACATTACATGTGCCCAGTTAAATCCATCCATAACCAGCTGATGAGCTCTAGCGATCAACTTAAGGTTGTTTGTGTGATTGAATTGTTCAGATATATCCTGAAAGACAAAGTGTAAGTTTTAAGTAAATAACTGATAAAAATTCAACAGAGGGCAGGATTCAGCAATTAAATTCAAGTTACCTGGCCAAAAGTATATCCAGCACCACGGGGAGAAATTCCCCAACCGCACCTGTCATCTGGGTCAGACCATAATAGATCACACATCGGCCCTTCATGAGGGACCTCCTGAACACGATCAAAGTTCCTCACATTATCAAGAGTCTCAATGGAAGGGGAGAGTCCACCATGCAGACAAAATATCTCTGACTCAACCTGTAAGAATTTTAAATCAGAAGTTGAATGCTTTTAGACCAACAACTCAATACTAACTACCAATTTCTCGTCCAGCTATTGTGGCGAACATAAGGTTGCTCACCAATCAATCTAACATCTCAAACGAGCGTCACTGTAAAGACAGCTTTATTTGAACTAAGGATATAAAAATTTAACACAACAAAAAAACGGTAAATTATATCACATGCCTTGAAGTTTAATGAAGCTATAAGTGCACCAGGTTTGAAATGTACAAAGGGTTCCTTTAAGAGATAGAAAGCTTATATCAGGAAATAAATTATTACCTTCTTTATCCTCAGACAAACCAAAAGTTTTCTTTAAAACTAATCATTATTTCACATTTCCACTTTAAAAAACTATTCAGCTAACATGAATTTAACGTTATTTTCCAAAAATAATCCCTTCTACCACATAAAGTTGCAAACGAAAGTGTATAGTATGCACTAACCAATGCAGTCAATGGAAAGTAATCAAAAAGGTCTGTGAAGATCTTCCAAACATTAGCATTGCCATACCTGCAAATAGATAATAAAAAGTATTATCATGGACTAGAAAGAAATTACATTGCTCATGCAAAAGAATCAAAACCAATCAGCAACCAGAACAGTTAAGATCAACTAATTCAGAAACTCACGCAACTGCATTCACTCAACTCGGTGGTCAGAGGATACATTTCTATTAATAAGGAATCACCACCCAACATGGAAGGGTCGGTGAACTTCAAATAGTTTAAGGCCACTAATCCCCTGTACATCAGGACCATTGGCCCTTCATATTAGCGCTCCCCACCCTCTACCCCAAGCAAAAGGAAGGGGTAAAAGAAATGTCATGGAACTGGACCCATTAGAGTTGGATCGTCCACTGCATACCAGATCGCATTTATGTCCATATCCAAATACATTTCATATTAATTGAGGTTTCTGACACGCATGAGAAAAAATCCTATATCTCAAATCTAAGTATTAGTGCCTTCATTAAACACAACTGATCTGAATCCAAGGTCAAATTTTTTTCCTCAAAACATCATAGACCACCAATGTAATTTGTAACATTACAACATTCAGGTCACGCAACCTCGCATCCGATTCACCTTTTTGTTGCTAGTGTCTACACAACTTCCATGACCATCAATAGAGACACAACCATGCGAGAGTCTCAGATATCCATCAATACTTCAACATCAAAAATTCGAAATTCTAAAAAACGAGAATCTCAAATCAAAATGATTTCAAAGCCTCAATTCAACTGCGTGATTCAGATGCTCACCAAAGACATCAAGTTTGCTAAATGTAAGTAGGAAGACAATAACTAACCAAAACTTAATATTGGAATTCTACAAATGTACAATACAATTGGGGGGAATTACGTTTTTCAAGATAAAAATCTAATAGTTCATCATATCTGAAAGAAAATTTTCTCACCATACCACAAAGTAAAAAAATAAATTGTGCATTAGTAGTTAACAAACAAAAGCATGTAGAAACAATAATAATTGGAGTAATAAACAAGCAGAACTTTCTTTTTTCTAGGACCTGTAAATAAAAAGGTGTTGAGAACTCACTTTCTTAGGCATTCATCATAAAATCCATATACTTGAGTGATCTGCAGAATTAATTAAAGATAAAGCAACAGTTAGATGACTATTACGTAAACCTGCAAATCAAAGCCAACTATAATTTATTCAACTAACAAGCTTCTAAAACTAGCTATTGATTATGTCATTCAAGAATAGAACCACTAAGACAACAGGAATAAATACCAAAAAAAAAAGAAGCAAAAGTATAAGAATATATTATTTTAAATGAGAGAAAATTACAAAAGCATACCTGGCGACTTTCATGGTTCCCTCGAAGAATAGTTATGCGCTGGGGAAACCGCACTTTTAGTGCCACAAGAAGCTGGATAGAATAACTATTTAGTTCGTGGTATCTTTCCTCATATACTTATTTCAATCAAAGTGAAATAATATCCAGAGGTAATAAATATCCATGTATGTCACCGCTATTCACTGTTCCAATAATGAGCAAAACAAAGATGCCGTTCAAGGATGCTGACTTGTTTAACAGACATTGGAATGCGTCAGCTGGTTTTATGTATAGAGAAGTGATTCTTGGATCTTTGATCATTCCCCACCTCGTATGGAGATGGTGAATGATGATAGACAAGCGGTTAGTTTTTTGTTCTTCTTCTCTTGTATTGATGTTTTTTTTTTATGAATAAAAGCTAGAGTTTACATTGAAAAATAATAATAATAGTGAACTCAAAGAATCACAGATAACCAAAATCCTTACTTGCCACAGAAATTGACAAATTAATGATTATAAAGATAAATAGGGTTTTACTAAAAATTAAGAAATATGAAAAAGAGGTATACTTTTCCACAGAGGTATTTGCCAAAACACATTTATTTTTTTACCAATGTCAGAATTGAACGGGACGGGTAGATTCAACTAGTCAAACAAGGAACCGGACATATGTCCGGTCTAGAACATCCCAAAACCAGCCAAAAAGTGAATGGGTGGAAAACTAGTTTTTTCTTTAAAAAAAAATAATAACCCAAAATTATTTTTTTCTTTTCTTTTTATTTGTCCTTTGGTTGGTTTTTCTTTGGGTTACATATATCTGATGATTTGTTGATGGTTTTGGTTAATCATGAAAGCTTGTCCTAGTTTGGTTGGGCAATTAATTTGGCACATTTGATGGTTTAGGAGATTTGTAATAGATAATAAATACATTTATCATAATGTTGGCGCAACTGCTTATAAATTTAGCATGTATGACAAGGATATGGATAAATATTACAAGATTTTTATTTTTCACGCATATTTTTTAAATTATACTAATTTAATTAACTAAAACCTGTCTTATTGTGGTGAGACCACGGTCTGACCATTAAACCTTGAACCAGTGCTTGGCCGATTCAATGCTTGGTCCAGGTCTAAAAACATTGCTTTTTTAATTTGAAGTAGGTGTCTTAATGCTTCTCTGAATTAAACCAAAACTTGCAAACATGAGCTTTCAGAGAAGCTCCTTAAATATATTTTTCAGATTTTGGATTTGAGATTCCATCTGACGAAGACCTACTGAACTCCCCACAACTGCCCTAGAGTCTCAACAACAACCTTGGCCACAATTTACCAGTTACAAAATTTGATGCACAATGAAGTTATGCTGAAAACAGTAGTCAATGATAAGGATGAAGATTCTAATACAAGCTAACCTGTTTGTTTACTAAACAGCTGTTTATTTATTTACATATGAAAGAGTTATAGAAACTTCTAAAGATAAGATATTGACCTATTGAGCAGAGTCTAATTTCTTGTTTTACCCTATTAGTAAAAGAGAATTTGAATGAGGCTCACTCACACTTAATAAACTACCTCTTTTAAGAGGAAAAAAATTGAGCCTGAACCTTATTCAACTCTGGACATGAATAAAGTAACAAAATTATCAAAATGCGCGCAAAATGGGGGAACAATTAAACTAGGAAAAAATCAGACAAATTTATCTTGGTAGTACTTACTGTTACAGTTTCAACTGAATAATAACCCCGGTCCACATAGTCTCCCATAAACAAATAGTTAGTATCTGGACACTGTGAAATAAAACAAGCTTTTCTCAGAATCCAGATCTAAGCTTGATGAAGGAATTCTTCACAATATAATCATTAAAAAAGTTATTTTGAGCACTGACAAACAGGCAAAAACCATGCCATAAGAATCATTTTGCATAACCTAAATAGTACAGGGACTGTCAGATAATAATATTAAGGTTACAGTGGGTTTAACGAGTAGTTCCTGATTTTGCAATTTAGTTTACAATACCTCTGATGCACTTCAAGCTTCAAAAGCTTTTTCTTTGGCAGGTCTCAATTAGTTAGTTAAGACATTCCCCAGCTGAAACAGAAGAATTAGATAGAACAATAAAGTCTTGGTCAGAAATGATACCTTCCCTCCAATTCGAAATAGTTCAGCAAGATCATGAAACTGCCCGTGAATATCGCCACATATTGTCACAGGGCTTTTCACAGGCTGTGGTACAGGAGATATACGAAGATTAACACTTCAAATTTGAGATAAGAGAACTTAAACATTGAGAAGTGATTATCATTTTAAAACAATCTCACAAGGAATGCAAATATTCACTAAAACTAGAAGGTTGAGATTTGAAAGGCAACCTCTTCTTACTCCAGACAGGCTCAAAAGCAAATGATTCCAGAGTAAAGGGCCCAAGTAAGAAAACAAGATTAAAAACATCAAAATTAGTTGAATAACTCATTTCTCACTCAACAAAGGATTACTTTTAATGCAAAACAAGTAGCTTTAGCAACGGGAGCTTCATAAATTGAAAAAGGCAGCACTAGAATGACCAAACTTAAAGACGAGGACAGTAATGCACCTGGACGTTGCTCTCATCCATTAAGATCTCCTTGGCCTTTTCACACAGAACTCTAACCTACAGGCAGAGAAGAAAACATGAGCATTAGTTAGTACTTATATTTCCTAATAATAACAGCAGGAGGAGTAACAGACATTGGAGGTAGCTCCCAAAACAAAGAGGAATATGACAAATAAAATAAAGATTATCGATATAACGTCATGTTTCAAGGTAATAAATACTGAAGGACAAACCATGTTGGAAAATAGATCACTCACATAAGCACAGACCCAGACTGCTAAAACAATTAATCAATTGAACAGCAAAACGTTAATTACATATCAATGACCCATACTTATTCAGCAACGAAACAGATCTTGACCATCTAGATTAAAGAAATCGGACCTGTTCCTCCGACAGTGGCTTGCACTGCATGAGCTGTGAGATCTGCTCGTCGAGATCGGAGCTCGACTCCGATGATAACGAATCCACACCCATCTCGCTCGGTGATTGATAAGAACCTGGTTAACAAAATCCGACTTAGGGCAAATCCTAACCCTAGGTGAAATTCTGCGGTGCCCGTTTCGAGCAGCTCGCAGTGTCCAGACTGTGAAGGGGACGATCCGGGAAGTTAGAACAAGAAAGGGCGCGTGTGATAAATAATACGAAATGGATTGGACAACTAATGATTTGCGTGGAACCAACAATATGTTCTTGATTTTATTACCTATTTTTATGTTATTAAATAATGTTGTTAATTTTTGAAAAAATGACAGATAAAGAAGGTGGAATATATGAAATTCTAATTTGAAAAGCTAAGAAAATGTAATGACAATGAGGGAAGTCCTTCCTAAATTGGAATTTTGAAATTCAGTGAAATGACAAAAATACCCCTTACTTTTAAAAAAAAAAAATTTAGCCCCTCACCGCTGCCGGTGAAATTTTTTTGTAACAGTTTTTTTTTTGTGTGTGGGATAATATTGCAAGAAGTGGTAGGGGTGGGATTTGACCCCACAACCCCTTGGCCATTTGGGCCAACAAAAGGACAGATGACCATTAGGCCATCAAAAACTTCTTAAATTTATAATGCAAACAAAAACATAAGTTGACTATTTTACTGTGACTCCAGCCTGTGACGAGAATTTACCTCATGATGACAAGTCTAAATTTGATATTAACAAAGCAACTTTTCCTGATACATAATAAGAAATAGCATGTATATTAATTAAAAATAACAATTTATTTGAAAATGACGCATTTAAACGTGAGATTAACAATATGTCTTTTTCTGATACATAACAAGAAGTAGCATGTACATTAATTAAAAATGACCATAATTTATTTGAAAATGACACGTCTTTACTGAAAAATAACAAGTCTAAACTTGATATTAACAATGTGTCTTCTCCTGATACATAACAAGAAGTAGCATTAACAATGTCTTCTCCTGATACATAACAAGATAAATCTAAACTTGAGATTAACAACGTGTCTTCTCTTGATACATAACATGAAGTAGCATTAACAATATGTCTTCTACTGAAAAATGACAAGTTTAAACTTAAGATTAACAATATGTCTTCTCTTGATACATAACAAGAAGTAGCATTAACAATATGTTTTCTCTTGATACATAACAAGATGTGTCATTTTCAAATAAATTATGGTCATTTTTAATTAATGTACTTGCTACTTCTTATTATGTATCAGGAGAAGACACATTGTTAATCTTAAGTTTAGACTTGTCATTTTTCAGTAAAGATGTATCATTTTCAAATAAATTATGGTCATTTTAAATTAATGTACATGCTACTTCTTGTTATGTATCAGAAAAACTGAAAAAGGCATATTGTTAATCTCACGTTTAGACATGTCATTTTCCAGTAAAAACGTGTCATTTTCAAATAAGTTGTCATTTTTAATTAATATACATGCTACTTCTTATTATGTATCAGGAAAAGTTGCTTTGTTAATATCAAATTTAGACTTGTTATTTCTTAATTAAGACTTGTCATCCTGAGGTAAATTCTCGTCACAGGCTAGAGTCACAGTAAAATAGTCAACTTATATTTTTGTTTGCATTATAAAGTTAAGAAGTATTTGATGGCCCAATGGTCATTTGCCCTTTTGTTGGCCCAAATGGCCAAGGGGTTGTGGGTATAATCCCATCCCACCACTTCTTATAATATTCTCCCACACAAAAAAAAAAACTGTTACAAAAAAATTCCACCGGCAGCCACCACACCAGTGGCCGGTGAGGGGCTGAGTTTAAAAAAAAAAAAGATAAAGGGCATTTGTGTCATTTCACTGAATTTCAAAATTCCAATTTGGGAAGGACTTCTCTCATTGTTATTACATTTCCTTAGCTTTCCAAAGTGGAATTTCAAATATTCCACCTTCTTTACCTGTCATTTTCCCTTAATTTTTTCAAACAGAATTTTTTAAAAAATCATTTAAATGATTATTTTTTAAAAAAATATTTAAAATGGTGAGGTCAGTGATGAAAAAATAATTAACTTTATTAATATAATTACTATTAACGAATACGTCATATTTTCTGCCTCTTATTTTATAGAATAATAAATGGTTACAAAATATAAAAAAGTTATGCTATCTCATGTGCTTAATACCACCTCCGATTTTTAATATAAGATATTATTTGAATTTTATTTTGATTCTAAATATAAGACTCCAATTCACTTTATTTCTCATATTTATACATTTTTTTTCAAGATAGTCATTCTAATAATGGTAATTCTTGTCAATACATATGATTAATAAAGATATTTTAAAAAAGACAACATGTGTTTATTACAAATAACTAACTTAACTTATTTTCTTAATCCTTTCAAATTACTCAACTAACTGTTATAATTAGGACAGGAGGTAGTATAATATTTAGTTCATTAATTGCGGGAGATTAATAAATTTATTAAATTACTTAATTATAAATTATTTTACATGATCTTTTTAAAATACTTATATATATCATTAGATTATAATACTTTCGGTTCTTAATATAAGGCCTAGTTAACTAGACTTGGGAGATTAAGGAGGTTGATTAAATTAGTTATTTGTGACAAATAGATATTGTGTTTTATAAAACATTCTTATTAATCATGTGTATTTGAATTACCCGTTAATAATAACTCCCTAAATATGCAATTATTATAAGGGTTACTTAAGGGAAAAATAGATAGATATTGAAGACAAAATAGATTAGGGTTTTATATTTAAGGACAAACTGAATGTCAAATTATATTTTATATTAAGGATGAAGTGCAGTATGTCAATTTAGGCTTGCAATGGTAATCAGCATTATATTGTCAAGAAGAAAATGTTTGGTTGCTCTTTAGTTTGGTAATACTCCTCAGATCCTTAATACATTCTGATCCCAAGATTTAAATTATTATGGATACTCCATTAAATAATCATGTCATGTATTTCTTATAATTAATTAATTTAACTTTTTAATATAATTAAAATAATTAAATAGATCTTATATTAAAAATTAAAGGAATAGGATTTATCATGGTACTGATAATTACTTAAAAAAATTGATAATCCTCGTTCATAGCCCCTCCAGTATCATTACTCGTTATCATTCATTGTATATTTGAAAAAGTCACATTTGACATCAATTCGTTTCAGTAGTTTACTTCATCCTTTATCACCCACCTTCCTCTGCATCCGACCATTGTGAATGTTGCTACGCCCAACACCCACCACCACGCTGATCATTGTGAACGCCACCACCACACCTAGCACCCGCTGCCGCTGCCAATCACCTGACCACCATAAACGTTGCCGCACCCGACACCTACCACCACCACAGTCTTTGCCCCATTTCTCACCTATGCTTTGCATCCATCACAACCCCCATCTTTATTCTCCCCTTGCTCTGTCATCAGCGTCCATCATCCCTCCTTCGAAAATCCCATACATCTGTCTTCCCATGCCATCTAATGGTAATCCTGCCTCTACATTTTTCGATCTGCGTGTTGCTTGTGTTTTCAGGTCTATTACTTTTTTCTATTTCATATCTCATTTTTTACTTCCCTTGTCTTCTCTGATTCAGATTTCGCTTGCTTTATAAACAGTATCTTTCTTGATGAAGATGTAAAAATTTTGCTGATGATAGTGGCCTTATCTTCATATATGATTTTAGCATTGGCTTTAATGGTCTCAATCCATTGTGATAATGGGTTTCAAAGCTAGCTAGTTGCTGTATATTTGATCAGCTGTCTTGTCGAGGAAGAGACGTCCGGGAAGGGAAGGAGCTTTTGTTTTCTGGTCAAGGCATGGAAGGGTCATTTCACAAATTTTATTTTTTCCATTGAAAATAATAAGGATCACTCTACTATGTTTTCTCTATATAAGGTACCAAACAGATCATCAGTAATCAAAATTATATTGCAACCTATTGCTTTACACTGCATTACAATACTAGATTGCAATTGAACCAAACAGGCCTAGATACTTTAAAGTAATTTAATAATTTTATTAATCTATTTATATAAGTTAAATTAGGTCTTATATTAAGCATAGAAGGTAGTATCTTTTTTTCAGTTTTCAAAGAAAATGTGAATTCTTTTTATTTTTCACAGCACAATAAAAAATATTTTTAAAATAATTTTTATTTTTATTTTTAAAACAAAAATTCTAAAAATGAAAAATCGATCAAGTCTTGACTCTCTCTCTCTCTCTTTTTGTTCTCGTACCCTTTTTTTTAATGAAAGACATATTAATATATTATATGTTCTCTCAGTCTCAGTGAGATTTGGATTTTTTTTTCCTGTAATGCAAAATTTAAATGAACTAGGCATAGATTAAATGGATGATGAAATTTGGCAATAAAAAAGGAGGGTGAAATGAGTAATGGTGTTTACCATTCGTGTATGAGAACGCATCGTCCTTACTCATCCACAACAAAAAAAAAGAGAGAGAATGCATCGTCCTATAATTTTGATGCTTACTGGTATTGATGGTAAATTCAAAGTAAATTGTAGATAAAAAAAATGTAACTTTCATAAGTCATGTGGATGACTCATTCATCCGATAATGCACTGGGACCGCCACATTTAGATTTAGGGCTTGTTTGGATGCTCCAAAACCTTGGTTTCAGAAGCACTTTTCCGCAAAACGAGGTAACCTCCTCCACATATTTACTTCGTAATCCGTAAAAGCACTTCTGAAACTATGATTTGGTTTCTATCCAAACACTTCCTTAGTCAATTATAACCAGTTCCTATTATCAACTTAATAATCCTTTTTTTTTTTTGCAGGATGGGCTATATCATGTTAATATTTTTTCTAGATCTGCTCAAACAGTTGCAGCAGTCGATTTCGCATTACTGCAGTGTTGCGAATTTAGACACTGGTTAAGGAGTCAGGTTTTGACTTCTTCTGATATTTCTTTCGCTGGCGGAAACAAAAAACTCTTTTGTAAGACAATTAATATGTCCCCCGTCAACTCCCCCCCCCCCCCCCAAAAAAAAATTCTCTTACCGCCGGTCATCCACCGCCAAACCCCTGGCGACGGCGTCAAGTCGATTTAACAATCCAACAAAAACACTAATCTCACTGTGTACCTTGCGTGATCCCATTCCCTTATATAGGAGGTGTTTAGATAAAAAAAACGAAAT